AGGAGTAGGATGTCTGGGCATGCTCGTATGCGCTCTGCTGCTGGCTGGTGTGCAGGTGTACCGCCCGTCTCATCAGTCGAAGCAGTGAGCATACGTATCTGGTGGTAGCAACGACATGCAGGAGCCGAAATCCTCATGTGCTTGGAATTTGCTGCTGGTGTCGACTGGCTGCTGTTGTAGTCGGCTGCGATTCCGGGGCAGACTGCGGTGTTAGGGACTTACCTGCGTTCCAGTGTGTGCGCGCGGGAAGGAAGCAGCGAAATAGCAGTGCATACTCTCACCTACAAGTTGGGCGCTGCCCGCCCAGCCAGTAGCAATGGACTAAAGTCTGTGGCGAACTAGTAAGGGGAGCAGTTGACCGGGGTGTGCTGTCTGTTTCGCTAAGTGAAGTGGCCGCGGGCTACAACGAAACGGTAAGGGAAGAGAGGGTATACTCTATGGAACACAGTTGTCCTAGGCTACGTAGTGGGAGCTTGGACTAGGGAGACGCCATTACTGCTTGAAAAAAGAGGTTCTTATTGGGGCTTAGAGGGTCGTCTGGAGGTCAACGACCAGTAGTCCGATTTCTGTTTGACCGAGCTATTGTGCATCCTGGCTGCAATTGCAGGGCCCTCAGGCACATCAAGGAAACAAGGCCCTCTCCCGCGAGTCTTAGTGCACCTCTCTTGGATTTGAGAGTCTCAAATCTACCTTCTTCTGTCCTTTAAACTGTAAGTCTAGTCTATTGGCTCTGAGAGGAAGGTGGCAGGCGGGATTGTAACCCGTAGGACCGCAGCAAGACTCTGTGGGGGCCCACCGATTGCGGGATCCCTGCCGGAACCTACGCGAGGTTCTGGAGGCACGGAACCATCAGGTAATCCAAATTTCTCTTTGTATGACCCCACTACATCCTTGTTTAACTATCTCCCTCTAGTTTGACTGATGTATGCATGGCATTGCCCCTATGACTTTGCTTTCTTTCATGACCTAATCAGACTGAATGCAAGGAATGTGTCAAAGTGAAGCATAAGTTTATTTTTATTTTTATTGAAAGCAGACAAAGGGGGGTGAACTGGGGGAAGGTGGGAGGAAGGCAGACTGCATGCGTTTCACTGGGTCAACCAAGGACTGGGCATTGTTTCTAAGTTGAATGGTCCAGGGCTATGTTTATTTGACTGTTTTTTTAAGGGTCAGACATTGTTTCTAAGTTGAATGGCCTGGTTGCTGTGTTTAACTTTCTGAGGGTTTGCCTGATTTGAAGGGGTTAAATTCTTGTTTTATTATGAGGGAGAATTTTGGTCTAAGGCTGAGCATTGTTTCTAAGTTGAATGGTTTAGCTTGAAAACCACGCACATAAGTATAAACTGAGTATAAAAAAAAGTATTATACTTATATTTGCATGTGAACTGATAGTTGGGCATTGTTTCCAGGCCGAATGGTCCAGCGTTAAGCCATATCGTTAAGAAAAGAAGGGAAATTACAGGCTATAATTGAAAGTAGTTTGGGCAAGCTAAACATTGTTTCCAAGCCGAATGGTTCAGTCCCCTGCCATATCTGTATTTATTTTGAGAACAAAGTCAGGGAGATACTAAATTTTGGATATTAAACAGTTCAGGGCGGCTAGGCATTATTTCCAAGCCGAATGGTATAGTCATATGCCCAAAGAAGAGAGAAGTAGCTGTGCAACTTGTTCGTGTATATCTTAAGGCACGCTGAACATTGTTTCCAAGCCGAATGGTATAGCATTGTGCAATATGTAAGTTGGGTATAAGGATTGAATCATCTGAGGGTTTCATGAACTATCGTATACGAAATGACTTGGGGTTGGTGAGGGAACGTACCTTTGTGGTTTGGCCTGCATGTGGCTGAGTGAGATGATTACCTAGTTTTAGTTTTAGTTTGATAGGTAGTTGCTTTAGTTGCTCGCCACGTGCTAGAGCGATAGGAGTTAGTTTCAATTCCTGCATTTTCTAAGTTAACTTTTTTTGCTTAGGTTAATTCTCGCATTTTTTTGGATCATTTTTTAATATACTTGGCTTCGTATAAATCTTGGCAAACTACTTTTTCTACGGGAAGCGCTGCCAAACTATTCTGCAAATCCAAGGAGTTAGTCATATTTTGACTTTTCAAGGTTCAACTTGGTTAATTTTTATATATGACTTAGTAAAAATATGGGAAGTCTCCTTTTCAAAAGGGAGTGCTGCAATTTTTTTTGTTAATTCAAGGAGTTAGACAAATTGAACTTTGAAGAGTCAAAGTTGTCTTCAAATTATGGACTTAGTTTTGTATAAATTTTGGAATGACACTTTTTTAGAGAGAGTGTTGCCGAAATTTCTGCAAAACTAAGGAGTTAGTTGAATTCTGTCTTAATTGAACTCAAGTTTATCTTTCGAGTTTGAATCTGAATTAATATAAACCTGGAAAGTCCCTTTCTAAAGGGAGTGCTGCCCAAATTTTTTCTGATTCAGGAAGTCGGACAAAGTTTGACTTTCTTAAGTTAAAAAATACTTTAGAATTCATATTTGAGCTTATATAAATTCTGGAAAGACATTTTTCCTACGGGAAACGCTGCCAAAATTTTTTTAGTTCAAAGGAGATAAATTATATTTTGACAGGTGGCGATTCTGGTAATCCACCTTGAATAGGGGAGATTATGCCATGAGTCAACTTTTATTTGGACATTTGCTTAGAGGTAGGTTTATATATAGTTAACTAGGATTTTGAGTGTGATCATGATATGGAGGTTGTCCTCCATGGACTTATAGATTTAACGTGGGGGTTGGTCTGTCATGTGTTACAGGTCCGCTTGATCGTTTGATTCAAAATCAGGGCTAGATTCTGCTTGATCTCTTGAGGATCATTGTCTGTTATCACTGATAACAGGTCGGTTGACGATTCGTCGGTTTACGACCCAACTCCAATTCATCCTCAATACTCAACCGAAAAGGCTTTAGCCCTGGTGATTTTATTGTTTTATTAAGATTTTCACCCGGACTTTTATTGAATGACCATTTAACAAAGGTAATGAGTATTTAATTATGGTTGGTTGGACAAGGGTTGGGGCTTGCATGACTAAAGCGAGGGGTATGAGTATAAAGGTTGACTGAAGTTGACTCCGTGTAATGCGTTGACTTTTGGTTAACTCTTGATGTGATTGCAGGTATGTTTTGTGGTTCGGATTTTTGATTTGACTGTATGCGATCACACCCATATATATAGCTATGAGGAGTCTCACTGTGATTGTGAGAAGTGATCATTACGTACCTATCCCCCTTTACATATATATACGTATGTACCCATGTTGGGTGTTCGCGTGGCCTGGGAGAGCCCACGCTTAAGGGTTAAATAAGGTTTGAGATTGAGAAAAAAAAGAAAACCCCGCTTTATTGTTGAATGTTTCTTAAAGATTTTTTAGTCGGACGTTGGTATTAGGCCTGGATTTGAGGTTCTTGTCCAGGACATCCCAGGTCCTAGACTCTTCATGGAAGGGATCTCCCCACGCGCAGAGCCTATTTGCCCTGCCTGCCGAGACACTCAGCCTAAAGGCCGAAGGTGCCGCGGTGGTCGCACGACTATTCCTTCAGCCGTGCAATATCGTGAGGGGGTAGACCCTCACGATACTTCAAGAGCGACACTTGAGTGTCATAAGCTGTATTCGGATCCATGAAGGACCGCTTGATTATGGACACTACATAGTACGCCATCATCACGATTGTTTGCGTATTCATGCATTGCTAGTCGACACGGGAAAGTCATGCGTCCGCACGGTTTTATACAAAGTCTCGCGCGCGACGCCTGTCCGACTTCCGCATCGAAGAGTTATGGGATGCCTACTAAGGGACTAAGAGTGTTGTCGCGTTGTTTGTTCAGTGTCGTTCTGTATATGTATATGTACGTGCGTGTGTGTGTGTGTTTATTTTTATGTTCTTTATAATAGTGTGCGCGTGGCGTGTAGGATGCGTCCTAGTCGACCGGCGACGAGTCGTGCTTGGGACCTCAGCCCCCCCAAGATGCCGGTTTGCGTGCGGGTCCGATAGAGGCGTAATACCATGCGTACCTCGGCCCCTATGCTACAGGAAACGAGAAACGTCCTTGGCTGGTCCACCTCTGCGATTGCAAATGATCAGCTTCCATACTGTGGATTGGTAGCTTGGCGGGGATAAGCCCACCGAAGGGAGGTGACAACTCCATTAAGGTGGAGGTAAGTCGTGCCTCGCGTAGGCCCTATCTGTCGTAGGGGCTCGCGAGAGGTATGGCTGGCGCACTCGAGCGGAGCGGCTTGTGAAAGCTCCATTATGTATTCGCGAGGAGGATAAGACCAACTCCTGCGTGACACGGCCGGGAGGGTCCCGCCCTGCCTTGTGTGGTGCCGGACCGATGCGCTCAATAACGGTCCATGGCGAGGGTGCATGGTCCACGCCGTGAAGCCCGCGTTTGGAAACTGATGGACATGCCCGCCCTCCTGCTCAACTGGCCGCCTCCTTGGAAAGGGTCTGGAAAAAAGGGTCTGGAAACCGGTTGGCGTAGAATTTCCAGACCGCGGACCATGTAGAAACGCCCCGTCACCATTTCAGCAACCTCTTTCTTTTTCTTTTTTTTTCCCGCAACCTCTTTCCAAGAGAGGTGGTGTCTGGAACTCCTTTCCGGACCGGCTTTCCACACTGGTTTCCAGACCCAGTGGGGTCTGGAAAACACCCCGACGCCCAAACTCCAGGCCGCCGGCCAGTGGGGTCCACACCTTCGTCTTTTGTGTATTTGGTGAGCCCTACCGTCTTCCCCCAGGAACGCACCCTGATTTTGGCTGTACCTGACCGGGAAGGTGTGTTATGATCGGGAGAAGGCCGTAGCTACCGTATCGCCACCCAGCTCTCTCTCTCTCTCTCTCTCTCTCTCTCTCTCTCTCTCTCTCTCTCTCTCTCTCTGTGTGCCCCCGTGCTACGTGAACCGGTGCTACGAGCTGCTTTGGTGGTATGTGCTTCGTCTCCCGGGCTTCGGTGCTACTCTGCGACGTGAGCTGACGTACGTGCACCGTGAGTTGGTCTGAAAACGCGACGAGCTGGGCTTCGAGCCTCGGTGCTATGTGTTTCGTCTTTCGTGCGTTGGTGCTACATGCTTCGTGATCTGACCTAAGTGCTACGTGAGTTGGTGTGCTACCGGTGCTACGTGCTTCGTGCTTGCTACGTGGTTCGTTCTCTCTCTCTCTCTCTCTCTCTCTCTGTGTGTGTGTGTGTGTGTGTGTGTCTCTCTCTGTCTCTCTGTGCTACCGGTGCTACGTGATTCGTTCTTTGGTAATACGTGCCGTGCTCGCCACTGCTTGCTAGGTGGTTCGTTCTTTGGTGCTACGTGCGTGCTTGCTACTTGGATCATTCTTTGGTGCTAAGTGCTCCATGCTTGCTACGCGGCTCGTTCTTCTCCATGTCTCTCTCTCTGCGCCACCGGTGCTACGTGATTCATGAGCTTGGTGCTACGTGAATCGTCCTGCGTGCTACGTGACCTTCGTGCTTGTGCTACGTGGTGCTCTGACCTACGTGCCTCATTGCACGTGCGAAGTGCTACGTCCTACGTGCATCGTTGCTGTCAGCGTAAATCTGAGCTTGGTGCCACTTGATTCGTGAGGTTGGTGCTACCTGATTCGTGAGGTTGGTGCTACGTGCTCCCTGAGGTTGGTGCTACGTGAATTGTCCTGCGTGCTACGTGAACTTCTACGTGGCTTACCTCAACGTGTGCTTGAGGCATTGTCTACTTTTGTGGAACTTGGAGGGCTGGGCTAAATCATGGTCGAAGGCTTGCGCATTGTTGGTTGATCGTCGTAGACTGGAGGCTTTGGCTGACTCAAGTGAGTCTCCATTTCTCTTACCTTCCTCCACGTGACCTCTCTCCTTCTTCCGTCCGTCCGATCTTTGCCTGATCTCCGCCTGCTCTCCTCCTCCTCTCCGCCCTCCCTCCTCCCTGCCTCCTCCCTCTACTTCCTTTCTGCTTTCGACCTCCGCTTGACCTCCTCCCTGCCTCCTCCCTGCCTCCTCCCTGCCTCCTCCCTGCCTCCCTGCCTCCTCCCTGCCTCCTCCCTCGGCCCTCCCTCCTCTCTCGGTCCTTCCTCGGCCACTCCTTCCTCAGCCCTTCTCTCTCCATTCTTCCTTCCCTCGGTCCTCACATCCCCATCCG